ATTATATAGTGACAAATCGTTTAAGAAAATTTTACTTGATCAAAAATACTACTAGAGACAATGAAAAACCCTCAAGGCTGAAGATTGGAAAATATGTTCTATTTCATCACAGATTCAGATACATTTTTTTTTTTAATGCGTATATAATAATTATAAACCCAAAATATGCCTTGCTCAAATTGTAAACTGAAATTATGAAATTGGAAATGTAGTATACTTTTATAGTTTTAATTCAAACACTTATTAATTTATTTCATATTTTATTAAAAACATGTGTATTCATTTAAACCATTATTTTGAATGGTTAATAAAAAAGCACTAGAAATAGATTTTAAATTTACATACACAAACATGTGAACAATAAATAATGAAATCATACTATATAATATTGAAGCAAATATTTACCTTTTGGGTGGTAKCATAATATGTGGAGGCAAAAATTGTTGAATCATATCCATGAGTAGAGTTCTAGATTTATGTCCTTTTCCTTCCCAATTTGCTCGTTTCATTAATTCATCTCGTCCACTACACATCATATAGCTAAAACAATAAGATCAGACATTTAAGAATACATAATAAATAAAACAAAATAATTAATTATACAAACAATGAAACAATTGTAGATTTAAAATAGTCCAAACCTGCTAAGAATATGAACTTTGTCAATATTGTGTTGCAAAGGTGTCAACTCATTACGCAACACATGTAATGCATCCAAAACTTTACCATCCTCTAAATATTCCAAATACTTTTGTTCACATATCAAAAATTTCATGTCCTTAAAAAAATGAATATTATTAAAATCATTAGCTACAAGTAATAAAGTTTAAGATATATCTACTATTTTAACAAAACAAAAATATTTCACGTAAGTAAAATTAGAATTAAATCATTTAAATAATTAAATTATCTGGATGATTTTATGGATGACAGAGATTTAAAATACAATCAAGAGCAATGAATAGGAAGGGACAGTTCAATATTATCACAAAAAGACTACCAGTTTACTGCACACTTTATAATATAAGCTGTACTAATTGCAAGGAGTAATTATTTTAGATTTGATGGCATGGAGTGTGATCTGTAATATATATGATGTAATATCTGTAATTGTATTAGATATCAACTTAAAAGGGTCAGAAAACCTGGCATAAGGAATATTTTTAAATAATAATAAAAAAAGAATGAGAATGGAAAATAAATAATGTAAATAAGTTATATATGAAATACTCATATATAAAAGTTAAACATTATTTGAATATATATTTATTTGATTTTTATGGTATATAATTCTTATACAATATAAATTTATAACATAACGTCTTTAAAAATAAAATTATTTTCTTTGAAAACGTAAGCTGAATGCATCAGGCGCATAGCTAGAAATTTCTAAGGGGGGGGGGTGTTATTCAAAATTAATTGAAAAAATTATAAACACAAAATTGATAACTTCACGTAGATATACGATACTTCACCATGACAATCAAATAATCAATAATTAAGAAGTTGTAAACGTTTTCTTACACGCTGCATAAAAAGATATATTAAATCGTGCATGAAACGAGTAATCGATAAAACGTCACAGAACGGTCTAAAATAGTAATTATTAATGCCAGATCCCGGCTTTAGTGCTTTACATAATTGATATCGTAATATAAACTAATATACTTAATTTTGATAAATAAGTGTAAATCACGATTTAAGATAATTCGTGCTTATGATGCATCTTTATCTTGATAAAAAAATATTAAGTATACCACGGCTGAGGGGGGGGTTTTATTACACCTGTAACACCCCCCCCCTGACTACGCGCCTGGAATGCATAACACAAATAAATAATAAAATACTTACTGAAAAATATTGGCATGAATTGCCTACTAAAGCTTGAAGTTCATTTAAATCTGCATTAACCTAAAATGTTATAATTATTTTCAATATAGACATAATATTAACTTAATTTAAATAAAAATAGTATCAACTAATGTTTTAAAATTTAATTAATAGGTAATATTTTCTCATTTAATCTAGTTTTTTGTTTGTAGTAATTAACACAACATTAATACTAAAATATATAAAATAATAAWTGCATATTTTTTATAGTGTTATATATTTTAAGTAKATAAAAACAGTTTTTAATCAAAGAAGTGGTACTAGATAATAATTAATGTTTATACWTACTTTGTGCCATTCACCATCCATTACATGATGGCGAAATTGAGTGGCAGCAGGATGTTCTAAACGGCACCCAGATTCCTGCATTAACACTTCTGCAGTTTGACTAAAATAAAAATTTTAACACTGTAAATTAYGAGGTTAATTATTTTTCATAATATTTATTTGATACATAAACTTTTTAACAAATTGGGATTAATTTTTATAATTTTCATTATACCTAACTATAGTTGATACAATCATACTGGTTATTAGCAAAACAATTCTACTATCATCAGCCAAAAAATTCAAACCAAAGTAAATCTTTATATGACTTAGTTCAACAAGTGGATAATCTAAGTCATCCAAATTAAATACTTACCTATTTAATTTGGTCACAATATTGCCAGTATATTATATATATATATAATACTTAGATATTATGATGGACAAAACGTTAAAACACTCACCCACACACCCAGGATAAACATAGAACTATAAAAATAGCCTGAGATTCAAATATTATTTAAAAATACAAATTATTCAATCAAAAACTCCTTCTAAAAGTCCATTTAAACCCCTACAAAAATAAAGGAGACAAGATGAACTGTTAACTATTAATAGGTAACTAATAAAAATATAAAGTATTAGGTATTCAAAATACTTATAGGATAACCAGAGCCAATGACTAAAGAGGTTATGTAGAATTACCAGTGTGGGTTCTGAAAAGGGAACTCAATAACTGAYAAACTCGGAATTATTAAGCAACTAACATATGAAAATAGAAGTTCAGATCAAACGTGTGACAATTATTTGTGGACTAATTTGTATGACAACAACCACTGTGATAGTTTATATAATGCACAGAGGTTAAAGTGGGGAAAAATTCCAGAGGGGACTGATGTCTCCATAAAGTTTTAAGCGTTCCTTATATAATTTTAGGTATAATGTCTAATGTATAAAATCCTGATTTGTTAAAGGGGACGCTTTTTAACCGCCGTCAGAGGTAAGGAAACTGAGTCCTCCTGCGTCTCCCTCCACTTTAACCCCTGATAATACAATGTACAAGTTTGGATTTCTCAAAAAACTTATTATAATGAATTGATGACAAAAAAGGGTATAAAAGAAACAAGATATCAAGTTGGTGTGAACAATTGTACAATTGTGCAATGTAATAAACAAAAGAATATTAATGTTATTAAATACTTCATGTTATGGGTTAATAATTTCAAATAAATGGCAACCCTATACTTAAGTCTGAGAGTAAATAACAAGAGTATTTAAACAGG